TAAATAATTGAAATATGTCGCCTTTCAGGGAAATGTGTGTATTTGATTCTCCGCAACCACACCGGAAAAAACATATTCTCTGTTTCTACTTCTATGTATAATATATGAAAGATTACATTTCTTTATTCTAGATTATATACAGAAGTTTGAACATTCACCATTAATGGAAAGCACAAAAGGCAGTTCTTTTTACAAGATGCTGCTCTAGTTTATTCCTAAAATTTGACTTATTCTATTTATTTTTACAAGAAAAAAGTAAATACCCCCATATTTCAGCATCATGGAACAGTCCACCTTCCATCAATTAATAATCAGCTCTTTCATCTTTAATTAAAGCCACTATCTTTAAAGCACAAACTCTCACACACACTCTTACTGCAGTCACACACACTCTCACACACACACACTCACACACTCACACACTCACACACTCACACACATACACATACACACACACACAAATACACACACACTGACACAATGAGCTGTAGTTTAGGCAGTTAACTGCTGACAACAAGAAAAAAGAGTTATATCCGCTCTGATTCCTTCACAAACATCAGTGAGAGAAATGAGACAAGCGAGAGGAACAGACAGATGAGCTCCCCGTCGTTATTTACCCCAACTGTAGTCGTGGCTGCACTAAACCCATGATGTGTGATGCTGTTCCAGGTTAGCATTTCTTGCGCCTTATCTCTCTTTTGAAAATCACTTTACTTGCCTCTCCTTTTCAAAATACCATAATGTTGGCTCTGAAATAATAAAAGAAAATTCAAATGCTATAAATATTACATTACTTGCACTAGAATTTTACACACACACAAAAAAAAACAGATCTCATGGGTGACTTTTTAGTCACTGCAGTGTTTTCTAAGATATGAATATTATTCTATTCCCCAAGATATTATATGCAAATATTTTTGATATTTTTGGATCTCAGTCTAATTGTGTCTGTTTTTCGACAGACACTTGGGACAATCTTCTTTTTTCCCCTCTGTTTCTTAGCGAGAGAAATCAAAGAAATCATATTCCACCATCCACCTGAAAAACTAAAGTTAAAAAAAAATTGTACCCAGTTCTCAAGTTGTTTCCAGCATTTGTTGCATAAAGTGTTTGCTCACAATGTTGTCATACCACACCACCTAGAAAAAAAAACCAAGACAAAACAAAAAAAATAATGTGCCTCTGAGTCAAACAACATTTTCCATCATAGCTCGGTGGCCCTTAAGAGTATTAAAAATAACGTCTTATTCAGTTAGATTATATTATATAGTTTTATTTCAAGTTGGGTGTGTGTGTGTGTGTGTGTGTGTGTGTGTGTGTGTGTGTGTGTGTGTGTGTGTGTGTGTGTGTTGGGTGTCTCAACCGGGGATTTTACAGAAAAAATTGGTTTGATGTGTTTGTGAAGCTTTGAGGATCACTGTTCATAATGGCTGTCTCACCAGTGAAGATCCAGTTGCTGTCTCACACCCTACTGATCTTCTCTCAGTCGAAGCACACTTCCACCAAACCTTAAGAAACTCAGAAACCATCTGTTATAACCTGAATCACAGACATAACAAGAGGAGAGCAGAGGATTCTATATATTTTCTGATTATTGAGTACTGCTATGGATGTATTGTGTTTTTTTTTACATTAAAATATTGTTTTATGACATCTTGATAATTATCTCAGATGACACAGTGTATAAAAACATAATATACTTGATCAATCTTGTTTCTTTTAACATAGAGATAAGTACTACATACTACATACTACGTACTACATACATAGAGATAAGATTATATTTCTTTCTCTTTTTCTCTTTAATTCTATTTATTAAAGATACAGTACATTAACCTAATAAATGCTCTTTAAGAGGAAAGCTAAGAAAAACTAAGATATGAAGCACAGTGAGAGACAACACACAAGGCGCACAGCCCACACTGTCAAAAATGATTACTGTGATTAATGAAATGTTATGTCTCGTGGTTTAGTTCTACTGCTTCACATCATTATATCATTACAGCTGTCTGTTGTCTCTCAAACTATTAACCCTCAACTATCAACGCTGTGCAGTGAAAAGCAGTAGCCGAGAAAATGAAATGTACTTGTGTTCTACTGTGAGCTTCATGCTAGCTTAATGTCAAATACATGGATGCAGATGTGATATAAATGAAAATAATAGTAAGTGCATCCATACAGTCTATACTGTAAAATGGGGATGAAACAAGCCTGTTCAACCTTCAAGTTAAGCTGTGAAACGTCACTCAGCATTACAGTCAGAAACACTTCTCTCTTATCAGTTTATCCCTTATTCTTTATTTGTGCTGCTCTTTTATTTTTAATGCTTCTTTCAGCTCTGCTCAATTTCTCCGCCCCCCCCCCCCTTCATCACTATTATACTGTCATTAATTTCTTTCTTTCATTTCTTTTTCAAACGAAAGAAGAAAAAAAATGCACATAACAAGCTGCTGAATAAACTGTGGAAATTACAGACAAAATGTCAGACACAAATCATGATTGTTTTTTAACGTTGTGTTTTCAAATGTCATTTTTCCCTACCATAACTGGCAGGTTTGTTGGTAGTGTCCATATCTCGTCCACCCATTGGCAGTCTCATGTGTGAGACTAATGCATGTCTCGCTCTGCCACTGTGTAGAGTTGCCAGTGAGGTACCTGTCATGCTGCAGAAAAAACGTTTCATGGACTTCCAGGCCCTGTTGTGTGATGCTGTTTCAGGTAGTTGTGCCAGACTGACAGTAGGTTTGCTGTTTCTGTCAACTTGTATGACTCTGAAAGTGAGAACATTCATGACATCTATCTTTGCTTAATGTGGCAAAGACAGTATACACACATATAAAAAAGGACAGAAAATACACTTTTACCTACTACTTCCGTGCGTTAGAGGCTATGATGAGTGTAAGGTGCTCTCCTCATTTAATGCTGGATTCATTTCATGTCTAATCTGCTGACACAGTAAATGTTGAATAAAATCTTAAGGATGTCTCCATCTGGTGGGAGGTTGGGGGTAAACATGTGCTTGGGCAAATAAGAAGCCAAAATTATTGACAATTTCCTGAATTGGTTTGGGGAAAAATTCAGCATTTCATGTCTTGAAACACTAATCATGACCATTGCATAAAAAAAGTTAAATTTGACCTACATGCAGATAGGGATGTCATTGACATTTGATAACAATCATTGAATCAATTAAATATATTACTAAAGAAATTTAAAAACAACAGCAATTGTGAAAGATAAAATAATGCACAAAGGAACCACAGCAACCATTCCGCTTTATGTTCAGATAATCAGGAGAAGTCTCAATAGCACACAGGATGAAGATCACTGGCACATAAATATGAGTGGAGCGAAAGAACCAATTGCAGCTTGAAGGATGATGTCGTTTCTACTGGGTAACATTGCCCTCAAGTGGACATATTGAGTCACTGCGGAATCCCATTCTTCCAGGGGATTTAATTCATTCTAACATCTAGTACCTCATAAAAATGGTCTTGTAGATTTATTTTTCTGTTAATGTTTAAACTAAACTTTTTGAAATCATATCTACCTCATAGCTTGTTGTATTTTAGTTTAATTTTAGAACATGTACTTGTTTAATACAGATTTTATTTTAGTGTGCTTTCTAATCTCTGCTTCCTTATAAACTACATTTAATCGAGTGGTAGACAATTGGGAGTTTTATCATTCTTGTTATTTTAGTAGAAGTTCATATGAGAAAACAATCTTTGTACTTCATTGCATTTATTTGATAAATGTTGTTACTTGTGAATCTACAGATTTGGAAAAACAATATTTAATTTAAAAAATCTTAAAATCAGGGACAGGGGTTGCAAATTAGCCAAGGCTAGAAATATTTATGCATGGCATCTACTTTGTACTTAACATATGAAGCAATGTTTACTGCATGTGTCCCTGTTAAATAAACGAATAATAATAATATATAAAATATTATATATCACTATAGATTAAGATACACTGACGTAGGTAAAGTAACTTTACTATGCAACATTAAATTGACAGGCCTAGATGTATTATCAAGATTGTCATGCAATAATAGGCATAAAAATGTTGGATGGACTTTGATATTACGATTACTTTTGGTCAGTTGTTTTAATAATTGATTCAGGCACAATTTTTGGAACACACAAGTTAAATTAATGACTCGATTTTTTAACATGCTGTTTTATACTTTCTTTGTAACGTCTTAATACCTCTTACGTTTTTAATATCATGAAGACATCATTATGCAAATTGATGAGTAAAATTAAAATAAACAAAATGTTATTGGATTTATGTTTGGGGCTTTCCTCTCCTTCCTTTGCTGCATTCTCCAAACAACTTTAGTTTAAAGATTAGCAGTCATATTGTAATTTCAGGCCTTCGTCGTGGGTCTAATATATTTGAAATTTTTATTGGAGGGATGGCCCCTTGAGATGCACCATCTCGTTTTCAAGGGGGTCCTCTACACAAATGAAAAGACAAAAAGAAACATTACATAGAAAACATTACAAGACATTAACATTCACACATACACAGAGCTCTACCACACCACCAACCCCTCCCTCACCCACCTAGAGATGCAAATATACATGCAGATATAGATGCAATAGTTAAGTTAATAGAGATACACCGGCCCTAGTTTCCAACGCAATTCAATGCAGTGATGCAAAACAGACATGCAATGCAATGCATGAAACATGAATGAACACATTTGTGCAGCTTAGAATATAAAGACTGTGTCAGACATGAATTACTTCTCTAGTGATATATAATATAGAAACCATGTATACATTTTACATACATTTTAGCAAGAGCTCATCAATCCACATAACAGAATCACCAGCACTAAAAACAGGAGCAAGCTGTTTGCAGATAAGAGAGGAGAGCTGTCTTGAAGAGGTGAAAAGAAGAAAAATGGATCTAAGTGACGCACTCGCTCACCTTCTATAAAACATTCATGGTACCGCTCCTCTGACGTCAGCGCGTACAAGCAAAGTGGCGCCGTCGTCGTCGAGCCTGCCCTTCACATCCGTCCACATCCTACCAGGCTCAGCTCCCAAGCGCAGCACAGCAATGGCCCTGCTCAAGTCAAACAAGGTGATCCTCTGTTTGGGAAACATTTCCCCATCCCTGGGAGCTTTTTCCACCCGCAACAGGTAAAATACAAAGAAATTACACGCTCGAAACCAAAGGACATGGAGACTTTCCTGCACAGTAACTTAGTCTGGGTATTGTAGCAGCGTGACGTGACATCAGTCTCTAATTTGAACAGCAGTCAAACTCGTCATTTATGGGTAAATGTGAACAGTTCACTCAGCAATCAAACTCATGCTAAGATTGAACAGCTCTGAGATTATCTCGCCTATATCAGCTGTGTTAAATAGACAGGGGTCAAATGGTTTGTATAGGCCCGGCGTGGTGTGTGAGGTTAACTAGTGTGGCGTGAGCACAGATGCTAATGTTCATTTAGATTTGTAGGTAAACGTCACAGATTTACTGACTGCACCTGTTGTGATATACATCCTCGTGTTGACCTTAGAGGTAACTTGATGGAGGTAATTTATCACTGAGGGTCGTTTCTGGTGAAAGTCACGCTGGTTTGTCAAGACGTCCCAGTTAATCCCTTCGCAAGGTGTGTAGAAGTGATCGTCAGTGTGTGGCTCGTCAGGTGAAGATGTGGTACAAATAATACATTTTTAAAACGGGCTCGTTGACTTGTTTCCTTTTTTTCTGAGGCGTCTTCCTCCAGGATTTTGCAGGGAGCGCGATTTGTAAAGCTGTCTTTTCACCCCGTGCAGTTTGAGCTTAGCGACTTGTCGTAGTCGGTGAAGTCCTTGCGAGTTGATTGGCTGTCGTGTTCCGCCTTTGATCGCTGATTGGCTGATTTCTAGCAGCTAACGTAGCCATGGTTGTCCTTTCAGGGTCTGCTTGGAGGGCAAATTTGTTTTAGATTTACTTCGGCGCATTTATTTACAGACACAATTTTATATGTGGCTCTTGTAAATGTTGACGTTGTTTGTAACTCTCTCTGTGTATTTGTTATTTATTTTTTTCGATCCACATTGCTGTAACTTTGGGTTTGGTTTGTGCTATTGCTATCAGGTTTCTGTGTGGGCGTGTTACAGCGTTTGTTCCTCATATCTCATATTGAAACGCATTGTTTCAACAGTATTTGGTTGGAAAGGAAAACACCTTTTTATTTCTGCCCTGTAACATGAACAAGGCCTCTTGTCTATTGGTCACTGATAACATGTCAGTCTCTGATGTTTGTGTAAATGCTGAAGTTTAGCTGTTCAAAGGTTCTGTGTACATACACTTGGCAGCTACGATCAGATCCATTGAACCCACATGCACTTACTTTCTGTAGCATCTTTGCTTTAGTCACTACTCCTCACAAGTAAAACTCCAACAATACATTCACAATGTATAGAACATTAGAGTTACTTTATTCATGGCCATATAAATATAAATATTTATCTACGAGTAGATTACTATTTTACTTCACTGTATAAACAATATCTTATCTAATCTTGAACTGTGAAAGTTTATAGCATAGTTGTCACAACAGCATTTACATTACACCATAAAGCAGCTCACTAAACTACAGTGTACATTATTTACTTATGGAAGTAATTCATGTCTGACATAGTCTTTATATTCTAAGCTGCACAAATGTGTTCATTCATGTTTCATGCATTGCATTGCATGTCTGTTTTGCATCACTGCATTGAATTGCCTTGTAAACTAGGGCTTTAAATGTGAAATCTACTGCTGTAAGTATCTGTGCTTCAGGATTAAATAGTGTACCTCAATCTGTAAAGCTAAACTATTTTTAGAATAGTATGAACTGAGTCCAGAGCCCGTACTTCTTATCATTATATTGGACAGCATATGTGCGACTCTTGCCCTTTTGCAAAGTGTTCCCTCCTAAATTTAGCTGCAAAGTTTAGATGATTTACAAAGTAGAAGAAACCTGAGACAATGTGTGAGCAGCAGTGCAGCGAGGGTCACAACTTGCAACAACCTTCATTAATCAAACAGATTTCTGATGGAATGCATTTAATGTGTTTGTCTAAAGAACAGAAGGTTACAATGATAAGAATATATCAAATGCTGAGCAGTCCTTTAAAACATAGAAGCCAAATATCCAGCTGCAAAGCCGTAAGCTGGTTTAACAAGCCTTTAAACACCAATGAAAACAATTTGCAGTTTATTTGTAAAAGTATTTTAATAACATTTAATGATTTTCTTCATAATGTTGACTGAGATAATCACTCAAAGAAGCTTTTCTTTTTTGGCTTCTTTAAACCATGATGACCAACACTATGAGCAGATGATGACTCAGATGTTTTTTCCAGGATATCACTCAAAGAATAACTACAGCCTGAAACATTTGTGCTAATGTGCCTGAAGTGTTGGGTGTTTTGCCTTGTATGCTTTTGCCATCATATACCAATATTTTCTCCAGAAACATTATTTTTTGACATTATATTTTATGAGAAATTGTTGCATTTGATGTTATATTGACACCTACACCAGTGTAAAGACTTTCAATAAGAAAGAAACATTTTTAAAACAATTGAAATGTTTTAAAAGTTATTCTAATGAAACCTGATGAAATATTTGATATGTTGTAGTAGCAAGTCGCAATTTGTTTAAATGTATTTAAACAGCCTTACCACATGCCATCTACATGGTGAGCTACAAATTGTGCCAGACAAGAGGTTATGAGGTCGGAGTGTCTTTAACGTCTACTCCTTCCTCTTCTCTAACTTCTGTGTTTGCACAGGTATTACTCATTTGGTTTGTTTGTCAGAATGGTTTATTAACAACATTACAGTTAGTGCGTTTATGAGAATAAAAACTATATATACACAACTTTTCAGCTTTCAATAACTCTGTCTCGCAGTGAGCAGCATGAAACACACACAACTTATTTTGATTATTGTATTGAAGAGGTTGGCAAAGAGTAAAAAAAGGGTAACACATGGTTTACAAAAAGGGCTTTCATAAATGTAATTATTTGAAATTACACATACTGTTGTTCTTTTATTATGGTAGAAGTTGGGACTTTGTGAACGCAGGAGTAATGACATAAGCAGTGTTTTTTTTATGCCCAGATTATCTGTTACTCTTGTTTTTGGACTCTGGACCCTCTGAGTGGATATTGATGTTTGTTTCATGAAACACATTGAGTGCCCACTGAGCATGTGTTTCTTGTGTGCATTTATGTCGGTGTTTTCTCAGGTCACATGAGGAGTTAAGCTCACGCATTAAGTCTACACTTGTTAACCAGGAGCACGGCTAAGACGGACATCACATTACTGTAACCAGTATCACCTAATGCCATGTAATGTTAAGAAGTAGCACATGTCATGACCTTTTGTAAAGAAAAAATCAGTTCTTTAGTGCTGTACACTCCGATGAAGTGTTCAGTAAACTCTTGACTCTTTCCACTCTTTGTCATCCTGCCCACATCAACGTTCATATGATTTTGTGTCTTCGCAGCTCATGGTGGGGTGGAGTGCAGATGGGACCCCCAGATCCCATCCTGGGAGTCAGCGAGGCCTTCAAGAAGGACTCCAACCCCAAGAAGATGAACCTGGGGGTGGGAGCCTACAGGGATGACCAGGGCAAGCCCTTCGTGCTCAGCTGTGTCCGCAAGGTATGACCCAGCCCAAGCAAAAAAAAAAAAAAGAAATCATAATAGGAACTTGAGTTATGATTGAAATCTGAAAAGCAGTGGTTTTCAACCTTTTCGCAATAATAACACAATAAAGTGACAGTCCAGTCATTTCTCACTGTGCCACAGATTATTAATTTATTTTTTCATTGTGTGATCTTGAAACCGATTAAAACCTGAGAACGTCTGTGCACTGAGTACCCTGTTTGTTATTCACTACCTCCTGTCCACCCTCCTGTAACAGTGTGGTGCTGAAGCCTGGAGCGGTGCACGAATTGATTGACCGACCAACATCACAATTCACTAAGCTTGATTTCTTCGCCTCCTTGCTTTTAGTGTTTGTAAATGCAACTTTTGTCCCTGTTCTTTTAATCAAGAGTCAGAGGAGATACGATAACCACGTGACAGTTAGCCAGTTAGAGAGAGATTTTGTAAGATTTCTAAAGTTGTTCTGAAGAAGTTTTCTAAGAAGACTCTCCGTCAGATTCACCAACGTGTTCTTAAATTACTGATTAGTTCGCAGCTGTTTTTAACTACTTGTGTCCGTAAGTTGAAAGCATGTGCCTGTTGTTCCCAATTAGCATAGGTAACTGCCCACTAATGCCCATAAAAGGGCATGAGTGCAGGATGCGTGCAGGGCCCTGCAGACATATAGAAAGAAATGCTGGTGGTAGCAAAAAATAATGTTGGGGAGATGGCTAACAGAGTGCGGAAGATGGCGCCGACAGAATACTGGACTCCTAACGGAGAAGAAACTGTTGTGAAGTGGAGGTCAGGAGAAAACAAGCTGTTTTATTCAGCAGTGTATGTAATGGTTACACAGGAACACACACACTAAAAAGACGCATGGGATGCAATAAACTCATATAATAAATAAATGTAGTGAATTTAAATGTCATGTGTATGTTTAAAAGACCACTGTTAAGTATTGTATTAATTATGGAACAAAATATTTAAAAGTAAAGCCTATAATATTATACAACTGCAGATTTCAATAAAATGCAATAGCCAGTCATGTTGACCGAGCCATTCAGCACTCAGATGTGCATTAGAGTGCTCCCGAGTGTTAGTAAATTCTGTTCTTACCAAATAACAAATCACCCATAAGAAAACATTGATGAATCCCAGAATCTCCTTGAAAAGTTCATAAGTAGGATTTAAGAACACATTTGTTCTTAAGAACGGTTCCTGAATGAGGCCCATTGTTTTTAAGAGCTCAACCCCTGAAACCACCCCTGTAAAGGTATGGCATAACAGCCTGTTTATTGAAGACGTGTAAGTTGATCACACACCTCTAAACTCTTTCCTTAATCGATTATTTATTGGCTACATTTCTAAAGCCAAGACCCTGAGGTTTAGAATCACTGCTCAAAAGAACCGTAGTACACCACTATTATGTGATTTTATTATTTTGGAAATGGAGGGATTACTAAGGTCATTTGATTGTTAATTGTTTTGAGCTCAGCTTCTGCGACCCTTAAAACCTTCTGTGTTCCTGAATCTCTAAGCATTCACTTAATTTGGGTTCAAACATACATCTCAATGATTTTTCTTGTTGCCTTGTAACCATGAGAATGTGTGTTATGCCTATTGATTAGTGTTAAACGTTCATGTATGTTATACAAAGCATGTAGTACCAGTCAGAGGTTGCAAGTCTTCAGATTTTTTTACAAGTCAACAGTCATGTGGTAATAGTCAAGTCGATGTCGAATAGTCGTTGATGAACTTATCAATAAAACCACATGAGAAGGTAATGCTTCTTCCAACCAGCAAAGATATTTATACGCAAAACTTAATGCATGTGCTGCTGCGAGCAGACAGTTACAGACCTGTAAAGAAACAGGAGGTTACAACAGCTACAATAAAGTATGCAACAATAACACCTGTGCTACAATTCCCTTATTAGTGAGTGCTAAGAAAAAAAAGTCAAACTTGGGGAAAGAAAAAAATGTTAGGTAAACAAGTGTTTTTGTCTACACACTGTCATAGTCCTGCTCAGTCACAGTTTTAGATTTTCTCTCCTGATAAGCGATTAGTTGACATGAGGCACAAAGCATCATCACACAGCTGTAAAGTCAACCTCTAGGACCAATCAAGGACAGCTGTTTTGTCTTAAACCCTGTTGATTTCCTATTATAGGCAGAGGCTATTATTGCATCCAAGCAGCTGGATAAGGAGTACCTCGGCATCACTGGTTTGGGAGAATTTACCAAGTCTTGCGCCCAGCTTGCTTTCGGTGCCGATAATGAGGTCCTGAAGAGCGGCAGGGTGAGTTGAGTGTTGTTTAAACCTCTAAACCTAGGTGACAGTTTAAGGCCCAAATAGATGTGAACTCTCTCTCCTCCCCACAGAACATCACCGTCCAGACCATCTCAGGAACCGGATCTCTGCGCATTGGAGCCAACTTCTTGGTGAGGACTTCTTGATTTCGTCACTTAGCACAAACAAACCTTTAGTTCAGTCTGGTCATCTCTAACCCGATCTTCTCTTTCTGTCACAGGCTCGATTCCATGGAGGTCCACGTGATGTGTACTTGCCCAAACCCTCCTGGGGAAACCACACACCTATCTTCAGAGACGCTGGCATGCAGCTTAAAGCATACAGATACTACGATGCTTCCACCTGCGGATTTGACTTTAAAGGAGCTCTTGAAGACATTTCTGTGAGACATTAATGATGATTTAACGAGGAGGACGGAGGGATATGTGTGGAGATGATTAAAAAAAACTCAGGGTTTTCTGACAGCTAGTTTCTTTTTAAATGATATTGGATAAATGAAGTTAAGAATCTTTTATTTTCAATTGAAAACATAATCATAAGAGTATTTAGTTGATTTCCTAGACAACACGTGACTTTCAGTTTAATTTGTGTTTAAGTTGTTAACTATTTTCAACATAGTCACCTGGTCTGTGGTTTGTTTTGGGAAGCCTTCAAACTCACAGTCTGTTATCTATGTTGTAGGGTTGACTAAATATTTTTCTGCCACAGAAAATCCCAGAGCAGAGTGTGATCCTGCTGCATGCATGCGCTCACAACCCCACTGGTGTTGACCCAAAGCCAGAGCAGTGGAAGGAGATTTCTGACCTTGTCAAGGTGAGTGTGAATCCTCTCTGTTAAGATTTGTGAAAATGTTGCACTTTACCGTTTTGAGAAAGTATCAGGACGTGTTTATCTCATAGTCTGATGTCTCTGACAGTTCAAGTTTCAATGATAAAGCCTGTAGCATATCTATCTGTTATCACTTGACACATTGTTAACAAGTCATGTCCGTCTGCCTTCTCCTTTTTTTTCACGTTGTAGAAAAGGAATCTGCTCCCGTTCTTCGACATGGCCTATCAGGGCTTTGCCAGTGGAGACATCAATCGGGATGCCTGGGCTGTTCGCTACTTCATCGAGCAGGGACACAACGTCCTTCTGTCCCAGTCCTTTGCCAAGAACATGGGGCTCTATGGTCAGCTTTTTTAAAAATTAAAATATAAGTTATGATAACTTAAAGTTAGTAGGTTTTAACCTTTTTGTAATTTGTGATATTTTTTTCAATGCAACAAAATCTATTGAAATAAAATTGTATGTTACATAATGAGAAACAATTTTCATTACATCAACATGTGTTGTAGCTAGAGTTAATTTTATGCAAGCCACAGAGAAGCAATAAAACTAACGAAAGTCTTAAAATCACTGCATAATGTGAGACAAAGAAGTTAATCTTCACTTGATTGGTTATCACTGCCAGTTATACGATTTTAACTCAGGATTTTCTCTCCAGCTTTGATTGGGCAAATAATAATTAAGAATTCAAAAATACTGTTTAATAATGTAAGAACATTGATATTCAGCATTATAAAAAAGTTCAGTCACAGTGAGACACCATTCACACTTTACAAACCGGTTAAGGCTCATCTGTTTTGGGTATCTACTCATGTCATGTATAAACTCAAAATGTTCTAAAACACACTTTACTGTTTATAAATGTACAACATGTTTATCTGACTGTTCAATTCTAACAATGTGGTGAGTCCATAATTATGCTTTGTGCTTATTCATTCATTCATTCTTTCATTCATGATGCCTTCTCCTCATTATTGAACTTGGTTTAAGGCATGATAATGAGATTATCAGTTTCAGCAGCTTTACACAAACTCTTGTCAGAAATGAGTTTGTAAATATGTGTATGTTATTATTCCCAGGTGAGCGTGTTGGAGGCTTTTCTGTGGTGTGTAGCGATGCAGAGGAGGCGAAGAGGGTCGAGTCTCAAATCAAAATCCTCATCAGACCCATTTACTCAAACCCGCCCATGAATGGTGCCCGAATTGCTTCAACCATTCTCAACACACCAGATCTGTACTCACTGTGGTATGTGCTTTTATTTTTTGTAAAAACTCTAAAGGTTCAAGTATCCCTCTTTCACTGATTTGTTGATCTGTCTCCGTGCTGTCACTGATCCCAGGCTTGAGGAGGTCCATGGTATGGCTAATCGTATCATTAAGATGAGAGAACAGCTGGTGGCCGGTTTGAAGAAGGAGGGCTCCTCCAACAACTGGCAGCACGTTATTGATCAGATCGGGATGTTCTGCTTCACTGGCCTCAAACCAGAACAGGTGCACTTACATTTTCTACTTATTTTACCACAGGGAACAAAAATGTAAATTTTCATAATTAAAATTGTACGTAAATACTTAAATGAAAAACTCAATCCAGCTCTAATATCTGTCAGTGTTTCCCCTTCCATTATATTAAGGGGTCCGGCCCCCCCGCCCCCCTTGAAGCTCAAGTAAAAAAAAATAATAATAATAATAATTTTGTTTATTTTATTTTTTTTGGGGGGGCTTTTTGTGCCTTTTATTGTAGAGATAGGATGGTGGACAGAGTCGTAAATCAGGGGAAGAAGTCATTTAAGGATACCTTTCTGATAGAAAAGTACAGCTGTCATTAAAAGTAACGCATGAACACCAAGATTCCTTCAAGTGTTTTTGTGTCGGTGTGTCTATTAAAAATGAAGCTACAGCCAGCAGCAGAGATCCGTAACCTCGTAGGAATGTTTGTTGTGTGGTATCTGTTCAAAGTTTCTGTAATACATTAACGATTATAATGTATAAATGAGTAAGCTTTAAAGGTGCTGATAGGTACCTTTTTAAAGATTAAAAAAAAAAAAAATGTAATGCCTAGTTCACCAGCTTGGATCACTGCATTAGAAAATGAATCCATGGTAACATTCATTTTAATTAAACACATACTCAGGAGCATTTACTTTGATATTATAATTTAGTATCAGTGGAGTTGCCTAGTCTCATCAAAGAGCTTGTGTTTTCACTTTGATCAGCTCTTCATTGAAAGTGGAAGGAAAAACATCGTATTTCAACAGATTAATGTACAGAAAGAGAGAGTGCTCATATTCTGGAGTTGTTACTTGGTACAAATAATAAATACCTGGTTGATTGATTTTTCTCTCTGTACATCTCATATACAGTGTTTGTAAATAAAAAGTTGACTAACTGAGAGTTTACTGATTGAAAGAAGTTTTTCTAGGCTCCTATCAGTCTTAACTCCTCAGCTCAACACTTCTTGGAGTAGAACAGTGTTTAACTAAATGGTGGGCTGCTGCCCCCTGGTGGGCGTCAAAAGGTCCTCCACCAAGTATGATTTAAAAAAAAAAAAAAAAAAAAACTTTATTGATGAATTCATCATGAAGTAATCCTTACCCTGATCACTATGGTCATTCACAACTTCACACATTGAAGATTAGGTGAATGAAGAATTTTTTTCTTTCATTTTAATTATTTTCTTGTTTTGTGATTCTGGCAATTGTGATCTGAAAGAGAGCTGATGTCATGAAGTGTAATTGTCCCCTCAGTTATGTAGAGAAACTACAGATTTACACATACTGAAATGTATCTGCATTAAATGACATCCTCTGAAATACTGCTAATGCTACAATAAGTAGCATTTACATGTTAAAACTTCTAACAACAAACAGACTTGGTAATCAGTCCTACACAATGCATTATTGGATACAAGGCATGACGGACTGTCTCTCCAGACTGAAGAGTCAACTCGGACCTGACAAGTATTAAGGCAGTCAAACTTAATGCAGTCCAATTTTTGTATTTGTCTTCTTTCATATGTAGAAGATCAGCATTAACGATCGATAAACTAACAGACAACTCCCTCTGTATATTCCCCTCAAATGTTGAAGACAGCTTAAGGGGGGAGGCACTGTGAGCAGATTGAAGTTGTTAGTGCATAGTCACTTGAATAAAGTGGAGAATAAATAATATTTGAGGAGTGAAAATATATAATACATATGATATGATATATAACCTATAATAAAATAATTAGTGTTTCTTTCATATGTTTGTTGTCTAAATATTGACGTGTGGATTTGTTCATTTGTCCTGCAGGTTGAGCGCCTTACAAAGGAGTTTTCAGTGTACATGACCAAGGATGGCAGAATCTCAATGGCAGGCATTTCCTCTGGGAACGTTGGTTACCTGGCACAAGCGATCCATGCAGTCACAAAGTAGAGTGGACCCTGCCGAGGAAGCTACAAAATCAAAGCAGACGTGTTAAAAGGAGCTTTGTGCGTCACTTATTCTGTCTCCTCCATTCCACCTTTAGAAAAGATTTATTTAGTTAAACATTTTCTTGATTGGATATTTTAACTTGGAATGGCTGCTGCTGAAAAACAGTTTAGTTTGTTTGTCTCTTTTTTTTCTTTTTTTTCTCAACATTTCACTGAACAGCTTCCCCTGCCACTCACTCTAAAACATCAAAGAACAGAACTGGGGATAATATAAGGCTGATAATTTGAGATGGCTGTTGTCTTGTGAAAGCCTGTAGGAAATGTGAGTTCTTTTTAATTTAAATGGTTGGGTTATAGCACTTTATGAGCTTGAAAGCACTGTTTTATTTCAAGATTAGGATTCTGTTTTCCCTCAGTTAATCAATTCACTGCTGGCTGTTCATCTGAGCTAATCAATCACTCAGCAATGTAGTCTCCTGATTACTTTACTCCTTTTATTCAGCAGGATTTGTCAACTGTTTGAGGTGTCTATCTTAATCACATGTCAACAGTCTCTCAGTAAGTTCCGTCTAACACCTGATTGAAAACAAGCACACAGACCAAAAGAGAAGTAAACTCAGAAGATTAAAATGATCAATACCCTGAACTATTTTCTCAATTTGTTTTTCCACTACTGTCCCAGAACATCCTATTTCTTAACCACCTTTTCACAATGGAGTCTTTATATTTGGTACAAATACAAATGTCTCTGTTTGGTTGATAAGGTGAGTGGAGTTCCTGATTGAGGTAAACATTAGACGGTTCATAAAGAAATGCGGTATACACATGCTTCATATTTTCTCAGACTTCCTGATTTACTGAATGTGTCTGTCATTGAGAGTGTTACACAAGTGGCATTTACAAATGTGGGGGTTGCCACAAGTCTGCCTATACTACCATGTTTTGCATTCTGTCAATAAATAATGGATCAGTGGTTATGTACCTTATTGAACAAACAATAAATGGTAATAGAGTCATGATCTGTTCTAATGTGTGTTTTTTGTACCTCCATAAAATGTCAATCTAGCTGATTTTAATTGATAGACTTCATAATTAGAATAATAATAATAATGGGAGATGTCTTAATGCTCATCTTCAAAACTTGTAATGTAATAGATTTTCTTTTAGTAAAACATAAGCGATGATTTTGAGAAATGCTCCTCATTCAAATTTACAAGAGTACATCTGGAGCTGAGCCTCAAAATCCCACTGAGTCATGGACACACAGAAAGCCCACCACCACTTGAGACACTCATGATTTGTGCTCAGATATAAGACCATCATTTTTATTTCTTAGTATGAAAAAAGTGAATGAGGTGGGATTTGCTCCAAAGAGGAGTTACTGATCCTTTGTATATCATTTTTATTATAAGATTGTATTCAGATGCTAAAGCCAGACATTAGACATTAAATACATAGGCTGCTGGTCTTCTTTTTTTTTTTTTTTAAACAAATGACACACAAGGGTCTTCCCTCTTAGAAATAGAGAGTGGCATTACAAACAACTACAATACCCACAATTCTAAGCAACCGGAAGAACAACCAGAACTCCAGTCACGTGACAAAGTGTCACATGATCCTTTGCTTTGTAAGCGCTGGCCAAACAGACAGTGGTCACCTGCGCTGGAGGAGGCTGAGTAACTCTCAAGGTACAGTTTCTAATTATCAGCACTTTTTTTTTTTTTTTTTTTTAACCTTGACGAGATTACAGCGGATATAAAATGTATAGAAATGTTTATATATGTGTTTTATTTGGTGTGAAATGAGCGTGGTTGTATTTTGTGATCAGCTAGGTGTAACCTTTTCGAGCTAGCTATTGTAGGAAACAAAAGCAAAACGCTTTGGCTGCGTTGACAGATGTTATTGTTACGTAAAAGAAAAGAAAAGCAACAATCTAATGACATTTAAAGACGGAGTGGTTAAACAGTACGTTTGTATGCACCTGAATGAGTGTTTAAAATAGGCTAGATTAAGTTAAACGAGGTCAGGTCTTCATCCTATATTAACTTCAGCTGTAGTTCTTCTACATTATCTTTCTGCATTATTAAAGCTTCTTATGGATTTAACAGGAGATCATTTATGTCAGCGTTGACGGTGAACTCTGTGCAGTGTGCCTGTTTGATTTGAGGATGTCTCCATTACTAGTCCTTGTTGCACTTTTGAGTTGAAACTGCCTTACAAGCTGCCATAGTCTTTGCTGGTTGAAGGAATGCACTCCTCAGTCCTCACACATCTACACTGGTAATGTATCAGGTCAGGACTCGCTCCTCACTGTGGGTGTTTGCTATTTGAAGATAAGATAGAAATAAACGAAAACTTATCTTCAAGGAACCACAGGTGCTTCAAGACTCTACAGAGAAACTTTGATATTCCCAAAATGACATTGTGGGCCAATCAAAAAAGTAAATGCCCACCCGTTTACCATAGATGAGAAGGATGGGCTATGTAATCAGTTGATGTGTTTTCATGGATGGAAACAAAATTGACGATTAAGCTTGGGACTACTGGTTCTGCAAGAAAACACTGGAAACGTTTTAAAGAATCGCTGCTCTCCTCACATGTGTTTACAACGTAGGCTTAATTCATAGGAGCACTTTATTTGTTTAGTTTTTTTGTTCCGTGTAAGAACATCCAAATGTAAACTAAAATATTTCATTACAGATACCTGCATGGCTCCACCATCAGACTGACGCTGGTGATAACTTTGAGAAACATCAGCTACCTCCTGAGGACCGAACATATCAACTGCCATTGACTTTTTCATCAACTTACTCCACTTGGATTCAGAAAGTTTGACACTCATTTTCTGGGGTCTGTAAGGCTGAGCAGACCGAGCTTCAGCCTGTGGACTCATGGCGATCAACGCCGATGCGGAGGACTGGGCGGGAGTTGGGAGTCATGACTCTGGAGAACGGGCCTGGCTCTTGCAGAGCCCCAGTGTGGATTCTATCCCAAATCCTGAGATGGAAAGAACAAGGAGCGGGGGGGTGTCTTCTTTTGGAGCAGTGTTTATTGTAGTGAATGCTGCCCTGGGAGCTGGTCTACTAAATTTCCCTGCGGCCTTCAACATGGCGGGAGGAGTAACTGCAGGAGTGATGCTACAAATGGTGAGGACACTATATATTCCCCCGTCCACAGGTTGTATTTCACCTCCAAACGGCCTCTTCCATTGTTTGTATTTGTTGTAATCACTCAGTTTGCGAGTGAGAGTAAGAAACCGCAGGATAATTCTGCTCCCATAAAAACCGTGTGAATGATCAACACTTTGTTATCTTGAGACCTGGCTGGTAAATTTGACAAACTTGATAGTTTTTTTTTTTTTTCAAATGAGTCGCTGAAGGGTCTTCTTGAGTGATGATTCATATAGGGCGATAAATCTAGATTTTCTAGATAAAGATTTGTGGACAATCGTGATTTTTCAAAAATTAAAATTAAAATGTTCTCTTCAACTTACTCCTCCCCTCCCCTTCGGGCCCCCGTAGTACACATCCTCCCCGCTCATTTACTTCCTACAGAGTGCCCCCAGGTATGTGGTAACTAAGTGCAAGTATTTTGCTGAAGTTTCTTGGCCTCATCTATACTTTTTTCTGTGCACTTAAACTGCATAGAGCTCTTTAAAAGCCAGGTTTACAGTCTACACTTTAACTTTGAAGGAGAGATCCAGGTTTCTGTATTCATCCTCGAAGGGTAATTCAGTTTGCTTATGTTCAATTTCACTGATAAAATAAAAGCAAAACTTGCTTTTAGTAATTTCTCTGTCATTTCCAGTTCTTTTATAGAAGAAGAAAAAAAAAATCATAAATTGTGTTTGGTGTGGAAAAGTCTGAGTCTTATTTTTAGACCATCCCGGCATATATCAGAAACATACATGCAAGGACAGATATACAGATATTCATTAATGTGCACATATTGGTATATAATTTGTAAACTGGTATATTGGTCAGGCTCTAATTTCAGTCAGAGTCTGGCTTTCACAGTAGGAAAACACCACTTTTCACTAGATGTTTAAGCAGGAAACTGCTCACTGATCGAACGTATACACAATCTATACAAAGGATAAGAAACTGTCATGTGACGTTTCCTGTTTCTGTGTTTCAGTTCATGCTGATCTTCATCATTACTGGACTGGTGATCCTCGGATACTGCTCAAAGGTTTGTGTCGGATTCTGCCGTGCCTAAAGTTTTAATTTACGTCTTTAATTTACTTCTTCACTTGTTTCTTTTAACATTTCATCCACTGTGTCCTTTAGCCTTCTATTTCAGACTCGTTTTCAACCAATTCAGCATTTTCTATGCTAAGCACTGGTGACATAATTGGAACAGTCTTGTGTAATGAGTGGTTTTAGCTAGTGTGTTGCAAAAATGCTCACACTTTCACTTCCTGGTGGCTCAGACTCAGTGCATCTTTCAATATCATTGGGAAAAATAAACAGGACTCCATCCATTGTTTTGAACAAAAAAACTAAAACATCTGATTAATTTATTTCTCTGTAAAATACATCCACAGTTTGAACTTTGTCCTGAAGCATTGGGGAATGGCTGACTCCGCAAGTGGCTGGACTTAACGGCCTAAGGCTAAAACTTTTTTTTGTAACCAGACCTTAAACAAAGATATCAACCGGCTCCTTCTGTGGGTTAACTTGAGACACACCTGCTCGGATTTTGAGAGTGGCCATATGACCCTGAATCACTTTACAAATAGCTAAGTAATGTCAGTATCCTCATTTTACCAGCCTGAAATATCATAAGCAACACAATGCCAGAAAACAAATACACTGGCAATTATTATACTCTAAAGTTCTCTTTTATTTGAGCTGGTGTTTTAAAGTTCACCACTGCACTGTTACAATATAAGCTTTACAAGTCTGAAGTCACATGAGCTTTACAAGCAGAACGCTGTGCTTGGTTTTTGCAATAGTTTGCAAAAATAAACAGCTGAATGAAGCTGCTGTGGGAGACTGGTGACAAAATAGGTAGCTGATCATAAGAGCGCTGTTTCTGGTAGATTTCTGTTTTTAAGACCCAGTGTCAGACTGTTGTGTGATTCTGAATCTGATATCCCTTTTCACAATGTGTTAATGTCCCATTTCACAGTGACAAACCTGACAGTGACTGATCAACCCAAGTGTTAATATTCATAAACTTGACTGTATAAAATGAAGCCTACACCGTCACACTGCACCTCACTAATGCACAATCAACTCTAGGGACAATAAGCATACATTTCTACTTAAAGACACACTTCCACTTCTGAATCTTCTTCCTGGTTTCTGCAGGTCAGTAATGAAAGCACTTATCAGGAAGTAGTTCGAGCTTCTTGTGGGAAAGTCACAGGAGTCATATGTGAAGTGGCGATTGCTGTCTACACCTTTGGGACTTGTATTGCTTTCTTTATTGTCATTGGAGACCAGCTGGATCGCTGTAAGTATATCTACAATACAACTGTTCATAACAGCAACTTTTGTTCTGCCTCATTTTATCCGTTTTTTACTCTCATTGGACTCAGTTTAGATTTTCTGTAACAATTAAAACATGCTTCTAATAAGAGCTTAGCTTTGAGTCTGCTAATCTTATTGTTCCATCACCTACATTCACATAGTCATACATCTGAGTCCTATGTGCATTGATCTCATTCAGGAAGTTGTGGTGCATAATCGGACTCTGCCATCATTGATGGGTGCAAAGAGCATCATGGATGTCACCAGTCAGTAAATGTGTCTCTCGTGACGAACTCTGACAGTGCAGAATTATTATATTTTTTTAAGTGAACTGAATGGATTCTGACTTCAATTATCTTCATTGCTTAATTCCCTCCCAGTTTAAACCAGTTCGTCTTTGTTTCTTTGTCATTTTCAAAGTTTTTCAAATTCCTGTTTTCTTCTTTTTTTTTTTAAATCCCCTTTTTGCAGTGATAGCAGCAGCGGGACATGAGGGTGACACAGTCGGTGATCTGTGGTACACCGACCGCAAGTTTACCATTGTTGTTACTGCAGTCCTGATTATTTTGCCTCTCTCGATTCCCAAAGAGATTGGCTTTCAGAAGTATGCCAGGTACAAATCTTAAACTTACTTTCTCATTTAGGATGAAAATAAAACAACCCTGTTTTTACGATCATGTCTGAGTTGGTGTTGCTCTTTGCAGTATGCTGAGTGTGATGGGAACCTGGTATGTTACCATCGTGGTCATCATAAAGTACATCTGGCCAGATAGAGAGATTACTCCGGGCTACATTCCCACCAGGTGAACACAACCCACCTGTTATGAAGTGAACAGCATTATAAAGCTTACAGCTTTTACTAATCATTTGAGCCTCATTAAGGCAGCAACATCTGCACCCTTGTCACCATGCTTTGCTTGAGCCGCTTATTTTTCGTGTTTGTTTCAGTGCTTCTTCCTGGACTGCAGTTTTCAATGCAATGCCCACCATATGCTTTGGTTTCCAGGTATCTCTTCTTTAGGTTTCATACAGTTCTAATAACTTTTCTTTGAACAGAGTCGAGCATTAATCAGATACATGTGTCTGTCTCTCTCTTCAGTGCCATGTGAGCTGTGTGCCGGTGTTTGACAGCATGAGCAAAAAGGAAATCAAACCCTGGGGAGTTGTAGTCACTCTAAGCATGATAATCTGTCTCTTCGTTTACACAGGAACAGGTAGGGTTGTGCACTTGTTTATTAAGTGTTTAAATATATAAGGGCTGTAAAACAAGGATTAAAAAAAAAGAAGCAATTCATAGCTGAATTTAAATAGTTACGGTAATCACGATTAATCACATTTTTAAACGCTTGTTTGAGATTCCATTACGCCTAAAAGGACAAAGTGACAGGTGATTAATGCTACTAAAAAGATCAATGCTTTCATTTCAGACCTTAAATACATCACAGTTAACGCTGACAGCCCTTATATATATATATATATATATATATATACACATACACACATACACACACACACACACACACACACACACACACACGTTATAAATGTCCTAATAACCTGTTTGATTAATTTCACATTACTTGTGAATAGATTTTATTTTATTATAAAACATTATACAGTCATAATAAACCACCCTATGTACGGATGTTGATGAATGATTAACATGTGATTGTCTCAATGTTTCAGTGTTTTAATGTCAGTTTAAATGAGGAGAGAAAAAAACTCTTATTCTGTGTCTACATCACATCTACCTTTTGTTCCATCAGGTGTCTGTGGCTTCCTGACATTCGGCTCTAATGTCAGCCAGGATGTGTTGATGTCTTACCCTCCTGATGATATCGCTGTGGCCATTGCAAGAGCTTTCATTGTCGTCTGTGTCATCACCTCTTACCCCATTTTACACTTCTGTGGCAGGTAAGATTTCCACTATTCTTCTCTTCCCCAGCAAACTCTTTGTCTCTCACTCATTTTAAAATTGCACAGACCTAAAATGAGTGATGTATGCATGTTCATGTCAGTGCTCGTCTCTTTTACATGTACATACTTTCTCTTTGCCACCTCATACAGTTATCATATCAGTTTCTAGTTTAGGCAGATGATACTCAGATTAATTTAACTGTCAACCTGTTTAACTGATTCATGACATCTACAACTGGATGTTTTGTTTCAAAATGTCCTGCAATTAATTTAGATATTAAGATTAGGTCAAGATGGTGCTAATGCAGAGATTTAATGGTCTTGGTTCTCCAATTCGTTAACTCTACATTGGGAAATTCTTAGTAGCATTTTCAATCAAAACCTCAATGTAGATATTTAATCAGTACAGTAGTTCAATCAAACTTCCATCAGCAGAAACATTTCTCTCTTTAAGAAATCTGGAAACTTCTGTTCATGCCTTCACAACCTTCTGATCAGACTGTTGTGTTTCCCTGCTCTGCATCAAAGATACAAATAGGCCCTGATTTGTGCATATTTTACTATGCAGTCAATGCAACATTTCCTCACTGCACTCTGGTGTGTTTGTGTGTCTTTTCAGGGCAGTTATTGAAGGACTCTGGCTGCGTTTCCAAGGTGAGCAGGTAGAGGTGTGTGTGCGACGTGAACAGAGGAGGAGGATCCTGCAGACGCTGGTGTGGTTTGTCGTCACCCTGGTCCTTGCACTCTTCATCCCAGATATCGGTCGGGTGATCTCCCTGATTGGAGGATTAGCAGCCTGTTTCATCTTTGTCTTCCCAGGTGACACTTCTCTCACAGTAAAGCCTGGCTCAGACTACAGGATAATTGTTACGATTTGAGGTCTGCTGTCAAGATGGCTTGGAACCTAGTATCTTCCTGGTTTATCTTGTAGTGTGAGTGGTATAAAGAGCCAATCTTTACATAACTGATCTGCTCGGAGATCGCCGGGGACACCCAGATTTATATCAAACATGCCTGAGATTTAGGATTTAAAATCTTGACGATTAAGTCATGAAAGGGTCTGGCAGAAATCTTGTGTGACGGCAATAATCACGAGAGAAAAGGGAGGATAGTTATAAGTGGACAGTTGTGGCGACTGGCAGCAAGAGGCAGCCCACACAGGTTAGCCAGACAACTTTAATGCATATGACAGTTACAATCTTACATCAAACTCTTGCTGAAGAACAGACAATGTTGTCCACCCTTCCCCACCCATTTCTTCACTTAAACTGGTTTAAAGGGGACATATTATGAAAAATCCACAGTGTGTTTGAACATACATTTGGGTAACCTGAATCTACCGACCCAGAAAATATGAAATAAACCCATCCAGTTCTTGTTTGTAGTCTGCATAAGTCTTACAACACAGATAAAAGTGCTCCGTTTCAAATTTGCTCTCCTTGTGACATCACTAGCTGGATTCTGGTAAAAAAAAAAAAACCTCCCCTCCCCGATATCTTGACCCATGGACTTCACCCCCAGCCTAGAACAAAACTCTTGCGAAGGTCTGCCATTGTATTCTCGCTACAGAGGAGTGATGTCTACCGGGAAAACTCAGGGGGGGGCTCATAGCATTTAAAGAGACACACACACCAAAACGGAGCGTTCTGAGAGAGCTGGTTTATACAGGCTCACAAACCTCCTCTGGTGCATTGATTCATGTTATATTTTGACCAAAGCACAACACAGATGTTTCATTTAGACCACAGGGGACTGTTTGAAAAGGTGGAAAAGGGGGAGAATATGTCCTCTTAAAAAAAGAAAATGGTTTTGTCCTCTCTACACAGACCATTGTAATCGCAAATTTAACTGCTGCTCCATTGTTTACATGAGGTCATGTGAGGTGGTGCGTTCGTCTGTTGGGAACGATAATCTAAGTAAAATCCTGTAGTATCTGATGTGCCATGATTTTCATATCTTGTAGTGTGTGCATGTGTATGATTATGGAGACAAATATCTGTTAAGATTCTCCTTATGTGTGTTTGGATTTTAAAACTCCTGTCTGAGCAAGGCCTAAGCAAGGTTCAGATCTCTGTAAAATCTTTATGTCACATCGTAATGTCTGTCTCTTTAACTTTACAGGTTTGTGTTTGATTCAAGCAAAGTTGGCAGAGACGGACAACCGATCTGCAAGGTGAGTAGCAGATTATTCTTGCATGTCCTCTGTGTTATTGGGTAAATTTTAATTTATGACTGTTGATGAAGAAAAAGAATAAGAGGAACCTAACCACATCACAAATCCTGAGTTGGCCGATCTGTTTTCTTTAGAGATGTTTGATGTCGATATACATTTTTAAAATGTAGATTTGACTAGACATATTTTCTTGATTACATGTTTTTCTTGTTGATCTCTCTGGTTCAGCTGGCATGGATTGGTGGGCATGGGCGTTGTCATGGTTACAATTGGAACTTTCGTCTTTGGCCTCACTACAACCAACTCCATCTATCAGGACGTCGTCAGCTAAAAGGAACATTTTCAGCATAGCCAGCAGAGTCTACGTTGAAGACCGGGGGGGGGGGGTGTTTGACCCTGTGCTGCTATTTTTGAACTGATGAAGAAAGAGAAGCATTTCATGACACTCATTAAACAAACAGGTCATCTACATCATAACACCTGCCTGCTCCACAGCTCTTTACTCTGTCAGGTAGTCGGAGACGACTCACAATGCCAAGTGACTTTAGACACTTTGCCTTTAACTTTATGTAAAGTTTTATTGCATGTTTTTTTTTAATGTTTTAGTGATGTTCTTTTTTTACTTGAAGTAAAAACAGTTTTTGATGTTTAGTCACTCCTCAGAGGCACAGAATGACTTCCTCCATGTTGACCCTGTGCAGGCAACATATTCCTGATTTATATATGGAGCTGAGGACTTTATATCTTACAAAGTCTACGTCAAAATGATTTTAATCGTTACATACCAACTGTACATTCAACTTGCATGTTGACTAAAAACATTTCTTTACATTAACATGCTGTGGCTCTCAGGTCTACTTCAGGTCCAGGCTTTATGTTTCAAACGCATATAGTTCATCAACAAATCATGAATTTGTCTCTAATATAAAAGAACAATTAATTGATAGATATGCACACATACAGTACATAGAGCTGTAGATAACAGCAGCATTACTGGTGGATGTGTTATTTGCATGACAGCAATTCAAGTGTTTAATTTTTATGCTAATAAGTACCTCAAAACAAGTTGAAAAAGTGAGATTTGGGGCAAAGGAGTGTGCTAGTATTTCATTTTTATATACATTTTGGAACTCATTTGAGATATTGTTTTCTTGGTGACTCATCAGTTTTCATACTTTAAAGTCACATGTGCTATGGTGATTAGTTGTCTTTGAGGTAAATCATTTGAGTAAGACATGTACAAAGTTAAGTTCTTGTGGGCCTGAATGCCTTCTAAGAAGATTCATTTTGTTAATATTGTACAAAATAGTTGACAGACGGGCTTAAAACTAAAGCAGCAAGCCTCCCAAAACACTATGCCTGGTTGTGCAGTGTGTCCGACATGAGCAGCACCACAAAGCACACGAACTCTTGAGGGGCAACAAAGAGGGTTGGAAAATGATAGTTTGTGAATGTAAGAGAAAAATGGATGTTCAAACTGCACAAAATGGTTTTCATATAATTTACAGACAACTGTTTGTCTGGTTGGCAGACAAGAGACAGCTTGACTGTCATTGGTGTCAAAACTCTTGGTGTGGGGTTTTATTTACTTGAATCACTTCCTTGTATCTCAATCCAATAAGTTAAAAAAACCAAAGTGAGCTTTATGCGAGTCCTTTCCCATTTAGCTCTAATTAAACATGTTCAAAACACATGGATTAATCAGACTGAAAGTTAAACAGCAAATTCCCCTTTAAAGCAGCTGAAGTTTAAAATGATGAAGTGTACTGAATTGATTGACATTTGTTTAATCTCCAAATCTTATTCTGGCTTGGATAAGAATGATCTATTCCACATCAATTAACTGAAGCCAGATTGAATACTTGTCTCTGGATTTTACTGTTTCTGAGTTATGAAATCCTAAATTGTGAGGCTGTTTCATGTGAACACAAAAGACTGTAAAAGGGATTTCCACCCACCCCCCACCAAAAAGCAGTAACGTATTTAGTCAGACTGTTGGACCAAATACATGGAATATATTTTGAGGAAAGGAGCAAAAGCCAAAACAGTGAAGCTGTCTGAACAAAATGTTATTGTATTAACATTTATTTAAATCATTGTTGAAATGTTGATTGACGTTAATAGTTTAAGGTTGAGATGATTTTTTAAATACTGATGCTGCAGAAAATGTGATGGATTGACTGATTTAGACATCCGCTGTCTATTGATCAGAAATCATGTGTCCCTGCTGTCTCAGACAGAAAGTTAACATGTAAAATGTTCAAAGTACTTGTGGTTGAATGGAAATACTTGAACAAACTACCTGTGATATTCCAATAAATACAATCGAGGCATATGAATGAACCTGACATCTGTTTGTGACTGGCAGTTCAAACATTTAATAAAAAGACACAAGATACAATTTCACTGTTTAAATGAACCCAGTTGCCTTACATCATTTACTTCTGTTAATGAAAACAGCTCAACATCTGTACCAAGGACAAGAAACTTTATTTGACAAGTACAGTGCAATCACAGTATATAGGTAAGGACATTTCTCAAGTATTTTATTCAGTACAATTAATATGAAACTGAATGGTGAGGTCAAAGGACTTTTTCAAATAGAGCTCTAACTTTCTCACATGAACCAACAAGGCAGCTGAGGTGTTTTTAAGGCTAATCAGAACTCAACAGGTGCTTCGAACTCCCCAAAAACTAGGCTCAGTCACAAATTCCTATACAAGGCCATGATGGATGCCCTACATCAAATATATACATTTCTTTGTGCCCAAATGTTTTCAGACCTTCAACTTTGAGGTATTGGCTAAAACAAGGATGTTTAATCATACACCATTAGCCAAAGATAGTTGTAAACATCCAGAGCTGGAAGTGGCACTTTTATGTCACATAACATCCAAATAGAGGAAAGCCCATACAAGAGATTTGTCCTACTCTTTTTTTTACTCAACAGATGCAGATGCAGTGACTTTATGAAGATATAATAATTAGTACTAACTGTCCCTTTCCCTTAAAAAAATCATCCTCCCTGAGAAAACAAAATGTACCATTTAACAAGTGATGAGTGCAGGTATACATCATACAGTGACCTCTTTCGAGGCTCAGTAGGGGCCATTTGTTATGAAAGACTGGAACATGTGGAAAGCTGGACTTGGAGCCCACTGAGGAACCATGTGACCTGCACCCTGAAACACAGAACAGTGGAGCGTCACAATAATGCCAACACATCATTGTAAAACAAAACAACTACGCTTTAATGACAGACACAAAACAACATGATACTAGTTACCTTGACTGTCAAGAACGTAATGTTGCCAAACTGTTGGTAGAAACCAGCAATCTGGTCATCATGCAGCCAGGGCTGGTACTTGGTGGTTGCCTGAGAACATTTATTGGTTGTATAAGAAGTTTATCTAGTTGTACTTTTGAGATTTAAAAAAATATACGTATTTTATCAATATGAAAGTTCCTACCATCAGGCCAAGGTCTTCAACAAACCACTGGTCTCCTAGGAAGTTGCATGCCATGTCAGTGTCTCCATTGTAGACGAGAGAGCGCAGGCCCAGAGAGAGCAGCTTGAGGTACACACTCTTCACTGACGGGTACAGGTTTGTGTACTGTGCTCCAACAACATCACTACAATGTACAAAAGAGTGCAAATGATCATGTGCTACATGTGTATCACATACTACCTAAATGCAATGACAGATACAAAGACAGCGGCAGCTTAATTTCAATGAATGGTGCCTGAATTATAAAGCACAACATACCGGTACTTCAAAAACAATTTTTTTTTAAACATCAGTTATCATTAGTAGAATTTACCACCATGTCTCTTCTGTCTTTATTGTAAAACAATAGACTCAGCTTAAGCTGCTTTGTTTTTTGGAAAGAAACACCCAACAAGCTTAAATGAGGGAATCATGCACCATATTTATACTAGCAGGTCTGCATTCATGTTTTGGCTCAAAACACTGCCATGCAGCCTCACAGAGGTCTAACTATTGCTGTAGACTCTCTTACCAACACATTAAGTTATTTTATAAGGAACTGAAGTAAATCGATTTACTGCCTGTTTCTATTGTGCTTCAATTAAATGAGCATTGACATACATGTCGGGACACTGAAGATGCTATAGATTGATCATTGCCATCAACTTTTGGGTCTAACATTTTTCTAAATCTTTCCATAAAAAGTTCTCTTGTCATGGTCTGGACTAATTAACTGTTTAATCTGTACTAAACCATCGGACCTGAAGCACAACTTTTTTTTTTTTTTTAACTACATTTAAACTAAACTTTATGCCCAACACTAGTTTGCGACTCCATAAACACACACACACATACATATATATATATATATATATATTGTTTTCTAGTCTTTGTATCTGTGTTTGAAATGTACCTATGACACCTGCTTTTCTCACCCTCTCCTCCTTATATCCCGCTATCACACCGTTTCTTGTATTTTGAGAGAACTGAGCTTTACCTCGACCAGTAAGAATTTTAAATCTGAGCTGGAATTGTGTCAGTAAAATAATTTTGAGTTGACCCAAAACCAAAGCAACTTTAAAAGAGAACATTGCTAGCTGTGCAGGACATAATTGTGTCAGGATTCTGGTGGAGCCATCATATTGGGCTCTTCATTTATTTTCGGTGTCTTCAGATTGGACTGCGAGCTGCTATGATGGCTCTAAAGTGTGCTTTTTCTCGTAGTGATGTTCGACATAACTGCATTTGATGATCTTGAGGGTACTGACACAAACGAGGCATAGGCTACTGGTTTTACTCTGCCCGTGGGAAAAATGAATATATGAAAGTCAGAGTACTATCACTTGTAACAATTTAAAACTGCATTGGTCTGTGACTCCCTGGCCACTGGAATTGCTACAATAAAGACAAGAAAATCTGCTTTGTTTTGAACAGACTACCGTAAAAGCATCATTTGCAGTGCTGTTTGAAATAGAAATGCTCTTTAAAATAAACTATACTATTGTCTGGACTGGACAGCACCTGGGACTGGATTCAGACCAGAGTCTGCCATTTGGTGATGACTGCTATAAAGCATTAAGAGAAAAAAAATATTTGGATGAAAAGATAATTTTGAGGACTTCATAGGTGTTGCTTTTGTTCAGAGATACCTGCAGATGTCCCATGGTGGCAGCGTATCTGGGATGTGTAAAGCTTTCCTCACATCGCCTCTCCTCAGCCAGTTCCCCTGAGCCGTGCTGTTGATGCAAGGAGGGACCTCTCCCAGAAGCATGGAGGAACGGCCTGGTTCTGAAAACTTCTTTTAAAGATTTGTTTCCATTAACAAACAGGTATATGGGCCCACAGCACTTTTAAGCAGCAGGAAACACTCACCTTAAGGATGTGTGGATGTCTCCTAAAGTTCTTGAACACATGATTCATGGCCCTCTCATAGCCTTGGTGGGAACTTCTGCCACCCTCACAATCCAAGTACAGAGCATACTCATTAAGGCCGCTGTCGTACACAATACCAAAGGCGATATTCACCTGAGGGAGACAAGGAAAGTTCAAACTGAGTGAGTCACCTGGTACCATCAAGTAAAGGGCTCAGCAAATTTCTCAAGAACTAGAGCACCATACCATGGTTTTGCAAGTCTCCGAACTGGAGTTGTAAAAGTTACAGCCTTCTTTGTCACAGCAATTTGTGTTCAGATCACGCCACAATCTGTACATAAAAAAAAATATATATATATATATATATATATATATTACACCTTAACAATATTTAAACTGAATTAGCATTTCATTACTTTTTCAGCTTTGAAACAATATTTTAATATCTGCATTTTGGTTCAAGACGGTAGCATGAGCATTAGTACCGTTCGTGATGCGCCTGTCTATCAAACATACAGAGAAGGACTCGGAGGTAAACATTTAAGTATCTGCTCCTACAATCTGACAGTGAATACACGTTTTTTTTTTTCAGACTACAAATATATATACTTTTCATTCACATATGCAAGTTAATAATTTCTATAAACTCATGAAACATTGCAGAGAGCAACATTTCAAGTGTTGCAACATATCGAGAGTGCAGCCAGAAAGTATCATCTGCATGTTGTGTGCATTTTTTCCGAAAGATTAAGAGGAAAACACTTGGGACTATGGACAAAACTGCTCTTCAACAAACATATTCCCCAACAACAAAATAGGAGCCACTTACTCTTCTCCAAAGAGACCGTGATAGTAACCAAAGTAAATCAAAGTTTGGTCATTCAGAGCAAAGCTGCTGAGACCATTTCCCACTGCAAAGCCCTAAAAAAAAAAAGAAAATCAAGGACATATTAAATATTCATGTTGTCAGCTAAAATAAGAGCCTGCTTTACAGTGAGGGTCTTGACTGAATTTCACAAAAGTGCCTGAAGGGTAAAGAGTCACTACAAGTGCAGAAACTGCATGCTTGTGGTTGCATTGACAGATGAGCAAAAACCATCTGAGCCACAAAATGATCACCCAAAAACATCTCACCTTGAAGTTGATTTTGGCAGCTCCAGTAGCCACGCGCAGGCTGAGGGTTGGTGCATAAATTCCACCATAGCTTTCCCCAAAGATGTAGAACTGGTTTTGAGTGAAATTTGGGAACTTTGCGAAGAAACTCTGCAAGGCTTTGTAATTATCATCTGCAACCTATCAGAGGAACACATGAGACTTATAATTAAGTAAGCTTTTCTTTACTTATCAAAGTTTGTCAGTCAATCACTGAACTCACCTGGTCATCATCAGTGGCATACTTTTGGTCATCAGAGTATGAATATCCAACTCCTGCAGGTGATTCTACATACAGCAAATTGGCAATCTTGTTCCAGCTGAATTTGTTCTCGTACAGAGTGGCCCCGTTGTCATTTACCTGAAAAGCAAAGTCAAAAGTTCATTTTCAGTCACTTTTAAACAGTGCACATGTTATGCCATTTACATAGTCAGTATGCTCACATGAAACGGTCCATTCTCTGACAAGAAACCATCCAGCGAGCTGCAGCCTGGCCCTCCATTCAGCCAGAGAACCAGAGGGTCTTTAGCTGGGTTCCCCTGAGAAGTCACAAACCTGCACGGGGACCAGGACCAAGGTTACATAGTAATATTTTAAACCATCACAATACTTCTACACAACACGCTCAAAATTAAAAAGGAGAAATAACTTTAGCCATATTTAAAACTTACTCAAAAGATGAGCACAATTGTTAGGATACATTTTAACACAGCAAACAATTAATGGCATGTTATGCCTATTAATAACATCAAAATTGCTAATTTAAAACAAAAAGGTAACCAACACAAATCAGCATAATAATAACCATCATCAAGTGGCA